CGCATCGGGCTCCCTGCTCCTTGGGAGCCTGCTTCTCCCTCTGCCTTTCTCTCTCGCTCTGTCTCTCATGAATAAAAAAAAAACAAACAAACAAACAAAAAAACTAAGTCTTTGCCATTTCCATACCTGGAGCAATACTGTTGCCTTTTTAGTCTCACAATCTAAAAACCATAAAAGGGTTGCCTTTTTCTAGGTGTATGTTAATATCCTCAGATACAAACTGTCTGCATGTGTGGTAACCATGTTTATCAAAATCCCGAATTGAGAAAGGCTTAAATGATTTTTTAAACTGATCTATAGAGGGGGGAAAATGTCTTATACATTTGTGAAAATTAACTCACATTACACATTTCTTTGTGTAATGGCTCATGTTTTTGTTTTAAGTAAACTCTACACCCAGCATGGGGCGTGAGCTCACAAGTTGGGTGCAGAGATTACTTTAAATAAATAAATAAACTTAAAAAAAAAAAAAAAAAAGAAAGGATCTTGTCCAACCCTTTCATTCTCCAGATGAAGAAATTCACCTAAGGTCACCCAGTAACAAAGTGGCAGTCCTAGAATAGAAACTGCCTGACTCCCATTCCAGTGCTCTTTACACACTGGCACCCAGGCCAGGCTCCCCACTCACTTAAGAAATCAATAAGCCTGGCCCAACTCCATCCAGGCAGGTAGAAGGTAGGACTCCAGGCTCCCTAAAAGACCACTCAGTGAGCCTTCTGGGAGGGGTCAGAGTCTGGCCCAAACATGACCTTCAGAACACATTCTCACTTTGAAGTAGATAGAGGGGCAGAAACTAATCCCCTCACCCCACTTCCACGGAACAGGTAGGAAAACTGAGGCTCCGTGGAATATACTAGGTCCATTCCTCTCCTAGCTGTGTGGGTCCAACTGCACGAGCTCTGTGTATTTGCATGTGGAGGGGGAGTACAGGAGTCTGCCTGGGGACAATGTCAACCTCTCTGTGTTCCCTGACCCTTGACCCTGGGACCTGCCCCTCCCTCCAGCAGCATCGGAACATCCTCTGGTCTCCTGAAACTGGGCTTAACGTGCCCTGCCTTTCCCCCTCTCAGCTTCCTAAGACCAAACAAAGACAAAAACCCAAAATATACACACAGAGCTACACACTGCCGAATACACACAGATGCACACAAAGCCAGACACACCCCCTCCATCTCTCTCACACAACACCCAAGGCCAGACAGACACTTGGCCAGACACACGCACGTATTCGTACCAGGCCAGACACACCCCATCACACATACAGCCAGACCAGAGCCAGGCCCACACTTGCCAGATGCACAAGCCACCCCCACCCACCCCAGAAGTACACAGTCTGACATGCCCGTCTGAAACCAGAGCTGCAAATACACACTAACCTTTTGTGCAACCCTGGTCCACCCAGAGTAAATTGTAACATAAGTCTTCCAGCAACAAAGGCAGTGCAGCTCCCAACTCCACTCTGGGGGCCAGAGGCTGGAGGAGCAGGGTGGGCATCTGACCTGCACAAAGATGTAGCCTCTTCCTGCTCAGGCTCTCTCCATTCCCATGGCAACAGCTCCATCAACCAACATCTCTCCCGCAAGGCCAGGGGCAGCAGAGAGCACCCCTCCTTCCTGCCCACCCCCAAAGACTTCAACGTGAACCCCACTCAAGCTACACAGGGTCCCGATCCTGCGTCCAAGGTCTCACCCTGGGTCTGTTTCCCGGCCTCCTTCCAGAGACAGCTCTAAGACCTCAACCCCCAACTCCAAACCAGGGAACCCCTGGAAAAACCTCCCTACCCAAAAGCTGCAACAGAGCTGGCTTTATGTTCCTTCTCCCAAGTACTAACACCTTGGAACAGAGTGGAGACGGGAGGAAGAGAAATTAGAGTTTCAGGAACAGATACAAACTGCAAGAGGCCCAGAGAAGGAGGCATCAGAACAGAGCGGGAGACAACCGGAGACCAACCCCCCCTTCCCCCTCAAGCCACAGGGAGTCCGGGAGAGACTGAGGCATATATATGTATGCGGAGAGGGGTTACTCTAAGAGACAAAGACCAGGGAGAAGCGCGGAATAACACTTCCACAATATTTACAGGCAAATTCCCCACCCCCAGGCCTCTTCCTTCCCCACCTCAAGCCATCCGGAGCAATTCTGGGCAGATGGGGGCAGTGGGGGAGGGGGAGAGGCATGCCTGGGCCCACTGTGGAGACTGGAGGGTCAGTGGTGTCTGCTGGCCGACAGGTCCCACCCCCTCAGAGCTAGAGGCAGGAGGGCCAGGGCAGGGAGGGGGCGGCCCGGCTCTCCAGGAGAAGAGGGGGCCGTTCGGTCAGACCCCTCCTGCCTCCGCTGGCGATAGGAAATATCGCGATAACTCCCCCCCCCCCCATCTCCATTCTACTCCCTCCTCCCGGGCTTCCCCCGGAGCCTGGGTCAGAGGATCAGGGATCCCAGTTTCCCGGTGGCCGCTCCTACCTTCCCTAGAGTCAAACTTTCGGCGGGGCCCAAGGAGGGGGTGTTCCAGAGAAAGAGGCTCTGCCGAGGTGGTTCGGGGAGGGGGCGGGGCGCCCGGTCCTGGGGCGGGGGGGTGGGGTGGGAAGGACCCGCTGGGGGGAGGTGCCCGGGAGGCCGGGGACCCGGGCAAGGAGGAGCGCCCTCCCCCGGCCCCGCAGCAATCAGAAAGGCATGTCGCCTGGCTCCCGGCCTCAAGTCCTTGCGCGTCCACGACGCCCCAGTGCCCACGGCAGAAGCAGAGAGCGACCCCTCCCCAAACCGAAGGGGGTAGTGGGGCAGGGCCAGGGGCTGCTCTGGCTCGTGGGGCGGGCGAAGGGGTTAGAGATCCGGCCCGGCGCGCAGCCCACAGCCCCTGTGGCTGCCTCGGACCCTCCCCCTCGCTACCTCGGGAGCAGGTCTGCGAGGGGGCTGCGGCACAAAGAGGTGGTGGTCGAGGGAGACGCCAAATCGCTAAAAGGGGGAATCCATTTCGGCCATCTTGGAAGGGAGGAAAGGGAAAAGGGGAGAGAAAAGGGAGAAAGAAAGGCGGACGGGGCGAGCTAGGATAGGGGCTGGCGGGGTGGGGCGGGGACGCAAGAAGCAGGCCCGGCTCCGAGTCTCCCCCTCCCACAGGGGTGTGTAGAGAGGGATGGACCGGCCCCCCCAATCCCCATTCTGGTTGCGTGGTAGGAGAAGGAAAGGACCGGGAGTCTGCCTCCACTTACCTGGGTTCGGGGTCCGGTGGGTCTCGGGGAGGGGGGGATGGGAGGGAGGG